TGGGTAAGGGACATCATTTAACTAAGATAATAAATAGGTGGGATCGTACTCGGGGCTTATATCCCATCAAAACGAAAAAGTGTGTTAGTCTCTCCCCTGCCAGAAAACCCAGGCCATATGTTATCGAGTCGTTCAGCATAAAGAAATGTTAGTTTAAATTTGGTTACTGAATTCAATGATATTAAAGATAACTTGAAAGGATATACCTGCTCTTTCTACAATTATTATTGAAGTCTTGTTTGGGGATGCATCAGAAGATGCCTTCGAGATATTTCCAGGTCTATCAATTAAATGGCTCAAGCAAGACCAACGTCGACGTTGTAGTATTATTTATGTAGGAGCATCACCCGTTGCAACCCTTGAGGGGGTCCAAATTATGAAAGGTGATAGCATTTCTCTTACTAAGATATTTATGCCGTATAATATACATTTAATAAGGTTGATGTATACTCTCAAAACATTGAAGCAAGACCAATTAAAGACTATTATATGATATAATAATAAACATTGTGAGTTTATATCCGGCGCTCGATGAAGCATCTGAAAAGATGGATAATGTTGATGGATTTTGATTACATCAAATAAGCGACATAAAACATCGAATAGAGAAGGAGAGGGAGATGAGACTTGGATTGTATAAAAATTATCGTAGATCTGTGAATGCTCTCGACGGAGTTGACACTGCACTTGTAACAGCTGGCTTAGGACTCGGTGTAGCCGGTGTTGGTTTATCGTACTTGGCATGGAAATAGCCGCCGGAGTCTCAGGATTGGCAGGAATAGCGATAAAATTTATTTCTCGTAAGTTGCAAAAGAAAGCATTAAAACATGATAATATTAGGATTCTCGCCGAAGCAAAGTTGAACAGCATTAAGGACCATATTTCAACAGCAATGGCTGATTGTAAGATATCCGAGGAGGAGTTTCGTTTAGTGCTGTCAGAACCCACCAAATACAAGGCAATGAAGCAGGAGATTCGATCTAATTCTCGTAAAACCAGTGGTATTAGCAAAGCCGAGAAAAAAAGTTCATAGAACAGGGGAGACAACAAGCGCCTCAATTATTCCGTGCCAAAACCAAAGAACTGGTTGGAGATTAAAAATAGATTGCTTGATCACGTTGGATCACACTACAATAATTTAGACGAATGCTTACATAAGTATATAATAATGTCAACAACATTTATGCTCCAGGACAAAATTATCAAATGGCGAGAATTACCACAGGGTATGTATTATATCAGTGATGTCAAACCAACCAAATACGGCCATCAATTGTTTCTTTCCAATTTCGAAAAAGAGTATATAGTCAGGTTTCCTAGTAAAATGAACGAAGAACTTAGTAAAAATGTTGAATATTACTTTGTTCAAAATAATGGTATGCGTATGAGTAAAAATAATAGAGAATATTTTCATTACAATTTAGTTTAGTCTCATCATCGTTTTTGTGCTAAAAAGTCCCTCTGTGGAATCATTGATTGGCTCCAGGTAGTGGTGAGCTAGAGCCAATTTAACTTAATCTCATCACGATCGTTGAATCGCATCATCGTTTACGCATAAAAAATTCCCTCTGTAGTAGTGGAATAGGTATATAAATCTGGCTCCAGTGGGGTTGCGGCAGAATCCCCATTACCTATACTACTTATTTTATATAATCCGCATGAAGGAACAATATCCCATACATCTGAAGCTGTACAAAGAAACTTATTCAATGTCACTTGTCTTTGTAACAATCTAATATTTTATATAATCCGCATGAAGGAACAATATCCCATACATCTGAAGCTGTACAAAGAAACTTGTTCGATGTCACGTGCCTATGTAACAATCTTATATTTTATAAAATCCGCATGAAGGAACAATATCCCATACATCTGAAGCTGTACAAAGAAACTTATTCAATGTCACTTGTCTTTGTAACAATCTAATATTTTATATAATCCGCATGAAGGAACAATATCCCATACATCTGAAGCTGTACAAAGAAACTTGTTCGATGTCACGTGCCTATGTAACAATCTTATATTTTATAAAATCCGCATGAAGGAACAATATCCCATACATCTGAAGCTGTACAAAGAAACTTGTTCAATGTCACGTGCCTCTGTAACAATCTAATATTTTATATAATCCGCATGAAGGAACAATATCCCATACATCTGAAGCTGTACAAAGAAACTTGTTCGATGTCACGTGCCTATGTAACAATCTTATATTTTATATAATCCGCATGAAGGAACAATATCCCATACATCTGAAGCTGTACAAAGAAACTTGTTCAATGTCACGTGCCTCTGTAACAATCTAATATTTTATATAATCCGCATGAATGAACAATATCCCATACATCTGAAGCTGTACAAAGAAACTTATTCAATGTCACGTGCCTTTGTAAGAATCTAATAGTTTATGTACCAGTATTACAAACATGGCAACTTCTTATAGCCCCTCCAATCATCCTTTGTCATACACATGGGTTTCTTATGTGACAAATTTTCCCCAATAATTCTCGGAACTTTTCCGCTGCATCAAAACCTGTAAATCACAGGTGCATTTGTTTTTGCGTCATACCTCACAACTATATATCCAAACCCACAAGAAGTATGTTCTTGGGTTTTGTTTGTACAACTACATTCAGTATTGTGTTCGGTATTTTCTATCCGTTTTATAAGTGCTTCAAAGTCAGCATAAATTATGAAAGGTGCTGGTATTTGATTACAATAATGTTCAAATTTTAATATATTTTTATCCTCTTTAGGCATATATCCATCCAGATAGTCTGCCCAACACCTCTGCAGTCTTCTTTATGTGCTTTTAAACGATCTTGTCTGCTGTACCCATGCAGACATCTTTCGCAGAATTATTTCTTTTCCTTATGGTTTGATTGATTGTATAATCACCTGTTTAAACTCTTTATCCACATGAAATGATATTTACCATCTTTTTCAACCAGAAATAAAGTTATTCTAGGAATATTTTCTGGGGCAGAGCTTACCTTGTTTACAACAGTTCACTTAGAATGCCCCCAAACATATATAGCTAAATTATTTTGCTTTTACACCTTATCATAATTTGCGAGAGTGGTGTAGGAGCATCTATACCTTCAAAGTTTAGTCCATCATTTTGGGAATAGCTTGAAGGCCCATCTGAACTCAACTGATCATGCAAGTTTGTTTCAGGTGTTTTCACATGGGTGTCAAGTCTCATTGGTCACCTTAGATGGCGCACATGATAACTATGTTCAAGATATCCACGGTTCTTTAAAAATGTCCATAGAGTTAGATAACAATGAGCAACCAAACAATGTATTATGGGCTAATTTTTGGAACACAATATGTTGTTTTTACAATGGCACTTCACGCCCAGATATGGGTGTATTCCATCTGCTTTAATTCCACTGTACAACAAAACAGTGATTAATCAGTCAATATATTCAGGTTAATCCTTCGCTGGGTGATTTTTGGTAACTCAAGTGATCATTCCTCTTTTTGCTGCACTGTCACATGCATATTGCATTTCACCCCCTTCAGAGCTGGATTTATGACCCAGTCTTAGATTGAAAAACTTTCCTAGACCAAAAGAAAGGCCAATCGGGGCTTTGTCAGGTAATCTGAGTTGTGCTACCACTTATTATACCTGTAATAAATTCATTAACTGAGCATCAAGTGAATGATGACAAATACACAGGTGTAGGGTTTTCCATATATTCTGTAAATCTTGAAATTAACACATCTCCAAATTAATAATTAAAAAAATGTAACTCAAAATCAAAGGGACTCCCCCCACCCCATCCCCAGTGGAATAATACATATCCTTACCTTAATCCAACGTATCCTTAATCCATTCAAACACAAATATCACCGCTTAATAGTGCTGAGTAGAGCACTTCCGTAAAAAACAATAAACAGTGTTTTCCTAAAAACAACACACAATTTATATGTTTACTATGTTGACTGCCATTATTAAGGAAGTTCAAAGGCAATAAAATAATTGAACCAACAACAGTTCACTGAATGATATTCGGAGAAGATGAAAAGACAAATTTAAGAATCTGATATAGCCTTTCGATGCTCATTTGTTAGTGTCGACCTTTGACGGTGTCATCTCTCTTAACTACTGGTGTGGTCAATGATGCCTAGTTTGACACGAATGGGTAGAACTCTTGACCCCAGCAGTGATAACTCACCGGATGCCCATTGTGTAATTCCTATTCTTTAAATGACATTGTTATATACTTTTTACAACTGCTGCTCAGTAAACATGTTTGTGTTTATAATCAAGTATTTCAGCTATCCAAAGTGTGCAGTGAGTCTGTCTTATTGTTGATGGTCATTTTTGAGACAAAGATGCGAAGTTTCATTAACACAAACAAAGACCTCTCGCATTTTTGCATTTAATTCAGAGTCACAATAATTTCAATATTTACAGTATATATGAAACATGGATGACAAGAGAGGAGTAATTGTGCATATACAATGGCAAAATAGGGATTCATTAAAAGCCATATATTTATTTTTAATATTATAGGTATCAAGCTATATGCAAGACAGAAAAAGGATCCAAATCAATCTCAGTAGAATCCATGCAACCAGAAATGCTTTCACAGCGGGGATATTTTTTTCATTAAACTAATATATTAAACTATATATCAAAACATGGGTATTTCCAAATAAGGACATAGGATGAGCTTCCACCGTTCAATTTGTCTGGTTGTTTAGGTTGAAGAAATTAATCAACATGTTTGCTTTGTAAAATCAAAATGTTTATAGATGAAGGGTAACCAATCAGTGTTCAGAAATGCAAATAGATATTGCCTTTATTAACACTGTCCTTACAAATGGTAGCCCAGTCTCTTGTCACCCTTAGTTGAGTTAGCGAGCAAATCGACTCACAGCAGCTAGTTGGCCCTAGCAGGTAGTGTTAGACAGCCGAGCAGTAGCCAGAGATTAGTTCCCCTTTAAGGCTTTATTGTTTTGAGTAATATTGTTAAAATTGTTTTCAGGAATGAACTACGCAAGGCTCTTGAAAGTGCATTACTTCGCACAGGCAATGTCAACAAGAGACTGTGGTCACAGTTCTGGTCTGCACATCAGCGCTTCTTCAAACAGCTTTGGTAAGTTGGTCAGATTAGGCTAAAGACTCATTCCTTGTGGGTACTCAAGGTGAGTACTTGAAAAAGAATTATGCTGAAAGTTTTAGTGCTGCGTAATAAACTAGTTTTAAGATCCCTTGGACATAGTTATTTCTGAATGTGTTCTTTGTTGATACTATTCAAAGAAGTATTCTGTGAAAACAAGGGTAGGATGGATGGCTGCTGCTATGGCACTAAATCTTCTGAAGACCACTACATCACAGCCGTAGGTCCTGTATTTTGGCTGTCTTCTCATCAGAAAAATCGTCAGAATTTCAACTGTAGTCTTCACTGTCAACTGTCCACAACCAGTTGTGCAAGTCAAAGTATCTTGCAACCCTTTCTTGTGTGAGAAGACCGCATTCATTCTTGGTGGTGTGGTTTTTTCTGAGTGAACAAAGCACATTATGTTGGGTTTCTGTAATGCTATTATTAGATCGTATCATGAAGGTTAGGGTTGTTTTATCCTGAGATGCAGCTGAAGAAGTTACATGTATAGTCTGGAAGTTAATTTAAGGTACCGACGTTTACTACAATATCTGAAAAAACTGTTGGACCTACTCCAGTCAAAGTTGGTATGAGATTATTAAACAGTCATACATAACTGGATATTACATTTAAAGACAATCAGTGCATGAATAAAAAATCTGTCTATTTAGTTATCACTATATTTCATCAACAACCAGACCCGTTTGTCACGGGTGGAACGAGCATTCATTGTAACAGCCATCTGCATAATGCTACCCTGCGTCACAGGGCCATATGACACAGTTGAACCAATCAACTCAACTCGAAAGGTTGCACGGGAATCACACACACACCAATACGGTGTTAGCATTAGATTTCATGATGTCTTAGCGCAAGCATCTTTCCGCTGATGCGAAAGGTTTCGTTGTTAAAATATTTGAATACTTTAAGGCTGAAAGTGAAAGACGTTCGCCCTTTGACATTTCAAAGTACATGAAAAGAACAATTCATGCGTCTGCTTCCCAAACAAACCGTAGTTAAGATTTTGAACTCTCATAAAAACACATGCTCCCCTGCACATATCCCTTAGGGGGCATCTTAAAACAGGATAGGAAATTAAAGTTAGATTCCTTTGATAAGAAAGTTGTCAGGGATGTGATTCGGCGGTTAACATGAGAAAATGAATTTTTTTCAACACGAAAACTAAAACAAATTCTCCTTACAGAGCATGACTTGGATATTTCCAAATGGACCATTTGTAAACTCCTTTCCAAATTTGGATATCAGTACAAAAAAACGAAAGGCTCGAAACTAGCAATGTGTGAACGACCAAATATCATTCGTTTGTGTATCAATTATTTGCGCACTAATAAAAAGAAACGAGAAGAAGGCTATGAGCATGTCTATTTGGACAAAACCTGTGTTAACGCCTGCCACACAGCGGCTTACCAACGGTTTCACCCAGATACCAGAGAGCCACAGCGCAAGATCCCCCCTGGTAAAGGGGAGCGCCTGATTGTCCTCCATGCAGGCTCCCACAGAGGTTTCCTCGCTGGGTGTGATCTAGTGTTCAGATCCAGATCTACAGATGGCAGAGACTACCATACCGAGATGAATAGTCAGGTTTTCACTGCGTATGTTGAGGAGCAGCTCCTCTTAGCACTGCCTGATAAATCCTTGGTGGTTATGGACAATGCTCCCTATCACAGTTGTCGAGATCTTATTAACCGTTGTCCAACCTCAAAGTCCACCAAAGGTGAGATATGTCAGTGGTTGGACAACAACCGCATTGCTCAGCCCACGAAAGCCAAAACAAACTGACTACTACCAACTGGTTCTTCAGAACAAACCCCCGCCCTCTTATTTGATTGACAACATGTTGAGAGAACAAGGTCAAGAAGTGCTTAGACTTCCTCCTTACCATTGTGACTTGAACCCCATCGAACTAATCTGGGGTGATTTGAAAAATATGGTCGCACGGCAAAATAAGACCTTCAAGCTTGCCAACGTCAAGCAGATTGTCTTGAAAGGGATGGGAGAAATTACAGATGTACGTCCGGCAAACTGTGTCCAACATGTTATCAAAGTTGAGGAAGAGTATTGGAAACAAGACTGTATCGAACCAGATACTGTCCAGCCTGTTGTTGTTCATTTAGGTGACAGCACAGACTCTGAATCTGACAATGAGGGTATTTCATAGGACCAAGAATAGTGCAATACATATACCCCTGTTTCACTACGACATGTAATAGCCCGAATTACCACGGATATGAATTCTTACATATTCGTACATATTCGTAATCATTTCTTAAGAATCTTAAATATATCTTATTTGATTCCCAAACATTCTTGTAGTTCGTGGGATTCATGAGAAAAAATTTGTTTATCAAAGAATTTCTTGGAATCGTCTACGAATTTCAGGTTCGTGCTTTGTAGTACATGTCATAATCGGATCTTGTCCACTTTGTGCAATTCTTGGCTCAGAATTTGATTCTCTTTCACCCGAAACAGCCCCGAAAGTCTTGAATCATCTACGAAAATATTAAAATATTTTCTTCGAAACCATAAAGCAATAATTTGTCTAAATGAATAATTACGTATGATATATTACACCTGAAAACATGATGCATGAAATATAATAATGTGGCAAGGAATGATACATTCAAGTCAATAACACTGACCTGAAAAAGAATGCAAAAATAATTGGATAAATATTATTAAATAACTGCTTGAGTCGCCCAACGCTAACACTGTATACGTGCGTGATTCCCGTGCAACCTTTCGAGTTGAGTTGATTGGTTCAACTGTGTCATATGGCCCTTTGACGCAGGGGTAGCATTATGCAGATGGCTGTTACAATGAATGCTCGTTCCACCCGTGACGAAAAGGTCTGGTTGTTGATGAAATATAGTGATAGCTAAATAGACAGATTTTTTATTCATGCACTGATTGTCTTTAAATGTAATATCCAGTTATGTATGACTGTTTAATAATCTCATACCAACTTTGACTGGAGTAGCTCCAATAGTTTTTCAGATATTGTAGTAAACATCGGTACCTTAAATTACCTTCCAGACTATAGCTGGGTTATTATCGAAATTGATCCTGTTTTTCATGACGTCATTTAACTAAAATAAAATAGCCAAATCTAAAAGTCAACCCACCTCACACATTGCTTAAAAACCTTGTGAATCCAGTGCACAGATTAATCAATCAGGAAATCAATGAAACACTTGAAAAATTTACAGTTTTTATATTTAAATATAGCAAAAGCCCTCAGTGGTGTAACAATTTTAATACTGTTATCTAATAAGAATTGTCCACGATGAAACTGTTTTTTCTATGTTGACAGTTAATTGAAGCTGTTATGCATAGGCGAGCCTTGTCCACTATGGCAATGTATTTGTGAAATTACATACTGTTATGAGAAAAGGCATGTTTCTGTTTGATGCACTATTTTAAATAGCAAAGTTCATGTTGTCCTTATTTTTTAAAAGTATTTTTCAGATTGTTATTATTCTTTAATAGGTCATGCTAAATACAGTTATGTTTAAAAATGACAATACTGAAAATTAAATTTTTTAAATCAGTATAAGTTACACAAAGGATATCAGTGTTATCCAATTGTTCAAATAACAAGAAATATATGCCACTGACATTTTCACTTCTTATTACACACAATCTCCTTAATTACAAAATCACATATCATATTTAGTGTCATTTTTGTGTGTTCTCAGTTCGGGATTTTGTTGTGTAATGTAAGGAGTGTTCATTGGTTGTGTCCGTTTTCCTGGTCACATGGTCCGCATGTCGGCTATATAAGCCTACACTTTCGACAGCATCTGGTAAAGTATGTAGTCGACCTACTCGTCTTGAATCAAGACCCTTTTCACTTGTTTGTGTTTTCTTTGGCATAATGAGTTTAGGTTAGTTTTAGCTGTGGGTGGGGGAGAAATAGTGTAAGGATTAAATAGGTTTGTTTGGGAACATTTCACTTTAGAGAGTTAAGTTAAAGGTGTGGTTAAAAGGGCGAGTTTAAGGAAAAATGATGAACAGTATTACAGAGGCAGGGACAGGGGGAAAAGTAGGAAGGATTTTTCCATAAATTAAGTGGATGAAGGTGTGCCCCCTGTTGTTGATGTTTTTAAAATAAAGTTTAAATCAAATTTAACTCTTTGTTTTATCTGTTATTAGAACACATAAACAAAAGAATACTGCCCAGGGAGAAGAGAACACAACACAAAGCACCGGAGTCAAACATCAGACCTTTGTCCCCAATTAATAGCTCTACTGTCACTGGGCCCCTTTTTACAGGCCTTAGAGGGCACCTATCACACATGCAATGAAAATTGGTTTTCTTAACATAAATGCAAATTAAAGTCTCAAAACATTTATAAAAGGTTCTGTTTGTGATTATGTTACACCAATGGTACTTGTAGTTACCCCATATTTCTCCGCATTGGACACAGACATAGCTGCAGGTAGTTCTACAAATAAAGTAATACATTTTCTAATAAACCTGGAATGATATATTGCCCTAAGACCCATTGCTAAATATCATAAGAATGGAATTAATTTTAATATAAATCAAATTGACGTCAAATTGTCATTGGTGAGACACTAATTTAAAATATGTTTTATGGTGTTTAATGTTGTTCTTTCAAAAATAATTAAAATCCATTTTCTTTGATACATGAAAAACATGTTTACATCACATTTACCTTTTACATATCATAAAATAATGTTTGACCTTTCATAATATAAGTGGCATAACAAATGAAGTCATTAGAATAACAGTAGTGTTGTGAGGTAATCATAAATTTTTTAAACTTATCCTGTCTCACACTTTTTATTTCTCTCTTCTTCTTCGATCCTATGTGGGAACGTGCTTGAATCATGAAAATAAATATAGCCACCACTAAATACATAGATTTGTTAATTTAGAAGGTCCATATTAAGAAATATTGCTAATGTCAGTGAGGACATGAACTGTATCAATGGTGTAACAAAATCAA